TGCATTTAACTGGGTTCTTTCGGTAACAAAGAAAAAGCTGAGAATTGCTGGGTTCTTTGCGTCGTTACCTTTTCTAACATAGCTTTGTAATAAAAGACTGAAGGCATCAGTACACTGCGTTCAATAATGGAGAAAAATAGCGCATATAGTGCGGGTGTTGAGTAAATAAAATGATCGCTCTGTTGAAGGCATGTTTTGCATCAGCAAAAGCGCGCGCGAAAACTGTGTTCGGCCACCTTAAGCGGACGTCACAGATATTTGAAATGAGTTCAGTGTCAGCCAATTGTGTTATATGTCTGGAATTAAACTGATTGCCCTGCAATCTAGCCGTAATGATATTGTCTACACGACTCGTGTCAAATTTGTCAACAGTGATTGGTCGGTTCAACAATAGTAAGTTTCCGCATCTGTCTATTGTTAGTCAACTTGAGCTTTACCACGTGAAGTCCATCCGTCACTTTGTTTAAGCGACTCTTAAACCAATAACAGGATTTGATACTTTTCGCAGAGTGTCGCTACTTTCGAGAAACTTAAAACTGGATTCTTTTTGATAGGAAAAGTTTGAAATAAATGCTAAGATGTTACTTAACGTGCATGAATAAATCAATATAATAAGTCACTGATGAATTAATAATAATAGTAATGATCATAATATGATAATAATAATGATAATAATGATAATAATAATAGTAATAATAATAATAAATAAATAAATTAGTATTTTAAGAGCAGGCCCTCCAATCACCTAGAGGTGGTTTTCGGGAGGGTCCTCTTAAAATAAAAAAGAAGTCTAAAATATTAATTCAATGTCTAAAATACAGAAGTAATAAAAAATAAAAACTTAAGACTACAACTAAATCAAAGAACGAATGAAAAAGAAGATACCACCCACCTTAAATGTTTTGTTTATGTTATCAACAAAAGCCTTGAAATCAAAACCTTTGTAGGTACCCCTATGTTTGCCATCCGTGACGGACACATTTGGTATGTCTGATCTGTCCCCAGCCTCCTTAGTAAACAGTATATCCCGCGCCACTGCCAGCGCCAGATCGATGCGAGTTTAAAATCTCAGTTCTAGTGGTTTACCGGCGATTTTCTCCAAAAGGGCTTTCTTCTCATAGTGAGAATTACCGAAGTTGAACTCTAAGTTCGCTCTGCCATTGAACGTGATAAAGCCCACGTGATCTCCAGCTGCGGCGACTTTGAATTTGTTCACCCAACAGGTTGACTACTTTATCCAGGTGACGTAAATTGATGCTTTTTGATTTGTCGAGAATGATTCCAATATCGAGTCCTTGTGTACAAGGTGGTACTGTGGTGGCTGCTTAAAGAATCAACAAGTAATCATAGCATTATTATAATGTAAGTGAAACAAATTATTACGATAACAACAACAAAAGCATGCTCCTTATATTTTACAATCGGCAGAGTAAAATGAATTTTGTTGAGGACTGTAAACTATAAGCCAAGGCCTAACTAAAACCAAATCAGGCTAATAAAAAAAAACTAGCCTCAATACTATTAAAAAAAACACTAAGTGTGATACTGACCCTATCAGAAAAACTTAAAGTCAAAAACTAATTTCAATTTGCTGTCTACATTTTACACACTGCGGACTGTAGACTGAAATAAAATCTTAGCTTAACAGTTGGTTTTAACGGTTAGCTTTTAGGTATAGGATTAGTTTTAGGGTTTGTTTCTAGTCTTCAATTTACACTTCCACGACCGCTTTTATATCCCCATACAGATACTTACTATATAGTTTAAAAAATGCCGCGCGCATTAAGTTTGCTTGCTAAGCATATGGCCGGCGATGCAGAAAAACGTTAAGTTTCGAGTTTGTTTCACCCGGCGTATACATGTACATACAAAGCATAAATGTTTTAGCAGTTTGGCGCGTGATGAGTGGCCAGTTTGAGCTCACTATAAATTTAATTGTGAACTAGCCCGGATCTACTGTTCATGTGTTGTAGAGTTGAATGAGCACGATCGCACAAGACTTAGCAATAGACGTAATTAACCTAGTACTTCTCCAGCACACTCATATAACCCGACTATCACAACGAGCAACTCTTGGGTTTTAAGACGAAATCCGATGGAAAATCGAGGAATTTCAGGTTTTATTGGACAAAAATCTGGTACCAGAATAACTTTAAGTATTTTACAGTCATTTTTACATTTTCTTAAAGTTAAATACATAAATAATTGCCTGAAATAACACTGAAAACAATTTTCCATGGGAACGAGAGAAAATGAATTTCAAAGTTCAGAGAACTTGTGCTAACACAGGCAAAATTTCATCATCGGTTTCATTTCACCAGTACTTTCAAGCGTTTCATACGAAGTTCAACATTCGTTTTCGACGTTTGGTGTCGCTAGGAATGATTTTTTTTGAGAAGACATTTAAAACAGTCGTACAGAAGTTTGTAATACGATGTAAATTATCTTGGTACTTGGTTTTTGTCCACTCGTTACTCGAACTTCTGGTGGATTCCATCTTAAATTGTTCAAGAACTATTGTCATAAGCTGCGGGTACCATTTAATAATTAGCTCTTAAGTTGCCATTTTCTTTCTTTATTACACGACTAACATATTTCACGACTAAAATCAGTCAATCCGACTGGTCTGGTGCTTGTCCAATATTTTCTTTTTTGCTGGACTGAGCACTGTACAAAATGCTTTTGTAGTTTGATGGCTCACTTTTGTAAAGAATTAACATGGAAAGTATTTTCTTTTTAGTACCAACTTATTCTTCTTCCTTAAGAAGGAAGAGGTAGGCGGTTGTAAACGTCCCTTTTCAATGAGAAATTCGCGGCTGAAGATTATGATGTTTTTCCAGCCCGTCATCATTGGATTCTCTTTTCTTAAAACCATTTTAAGTTATGTAATAAATATCTTATTAACCAGACTTGCTCAGGACCTTACTGGGTGAATATCGACCCTTGCGCTTGGCTACTAAGTTAATATACAAGTTTGTTTTCGCACAGTAAAGCTGAATAAATACTGTAAGGTAGTCAATTTTTAACTGCAAAGGTAAAAGAAAACAATATGTTGTCAAAATAAAAATTGCTGTTTTAGTGGCGGAGGTGAGGTGTTAAATTCTCAATTAAAAGCCTAATGAAATAATTCATAAACCATTCTAATACTTAGTGACGAAGTTCTAAGAAACTTAAAAGAAAAGCGCGCGCAAAATTAAATTGGGAATGACCTTTGGCTTTATTTGTTTCTTGATGTACACCGTTTTAATCAACTATTAGTTGCTAGATTAAGTTGAAATCACTGATATAATATCTATCTGCTCTTCGTTGAAAATTATTTTGAATTTTTAGAGAATGTATTTTATTGCGGAAACTCTAACATCTGCCAAGTCCGTGCTTCATACATGTAGTATATATCTGATTCAATTGACGATCTTTTTTAGTTTAACTCAGGCTTTCTATAGTAGTTGTAGTTTATTAAAACTCTCTGGAAGTCTTAGGCTCAATTAATGAGCTAGGTTTACAAGAAATAATATTAAATAAATCTAACTAATCTAACAATACTAACGATTCTATCTAGAGTTGATAGAATATTTTTGTTTGTCCTCTTTTTTCAATGGATAGCAGCAGTTGCCGATGTTTATTCTTCTGATAAAAGCTAATAACTCTTTCCCTATTGCGTTGATTGACATATGACCTTATTGGCATAGTTAACCAAAAAATAAATTCTAAATTTCAGTTTAGTTTCAATGATCGAAATTGTAATACAGAGAAAAAGTTCATTATGTTTTTTAATGGCAATATTGTATGAGCGATTAAGATTTTTCTGGGTTGCTTAATATTTACATGCTGACAATGAAACACTTCAATTTGAAAAATAAAGAAGTTCTAACTGAAAACGGCTCGATTTCATTAGATCTTTATGATCACAAAAGAGTACTTCGATAATTAATGAAACTAATCTGCTGAGAAGTCAAATCACTCTTTAGAATTTTAAACATGCGGTGGGAAGACTTTTTTGTGTCGAAGAATAGTCACACGTATGTATGTCATGTACATATTCAATATTTCCATTTTTTCATATCACCTTATTTACTCAGTATCTTTGAAAACCAAGACTAAACAAAAACTCAATATTTACCGCGCGCTTGTCACTAAGAATGAGTTTAGTAGTTAATTTCAAATGGCGAAACTAAGTTACCAAATATCCGACAAATAAGCTGAAACAAAAGACCTCCAGCACGGCTTTGTTAAATTCAATTCGACCTTACAAGCCAGTTCACTAGGACAATTTATACAGCCGTCTCGAGCTGTGTTTGAATAAAACTGCTTTTGCAGTAGGATAGCAGTTTTATTCAAACAAATGGCGGGACAACTGTTGCGCAAAGCCAACATGCCCAAATTATTCTCCGGCCAATTTCAACATGAAATGAATAGAACAACAAACGCAATTGTTACCAAGCAAACTAAACAAACAGCCATTTTTATCGGATTTAAATCTCTTCCACATGTAATTGGTTTGCTATTTGTGTGTAACTCACCCGTAAATTAACTTCCACGCATTAGGCCCGATCGCGGTTGGACAGTCAATTCTTCTCTCTCTTCTCTCTCATGAGTTATTTCAACTCTGATGCAGTCAACATGCCCAATATTGTATTAATCTTGTTTTTCTTTACTGCGTGGAACCACTGGTAAGTACAAAATATAAGATCATGACTTTCTCTTAAAAAACAAATTTCTCTTTTAATAACAGTTTTTCACTTAACCAACGGCGCATAGCCGCTGCGAAGATAATCGCGTTCGCGTATAGAAAGTTTTATCTAAAAAGACAAAATTAGAGCTACGAAGGAGCGTTCTATTTCAATATACAGCATTCCAAAATTATAACTTTTCGAAGGAAAAAACCTACTTGAAACACTAGAATGTTAAGGATATTCTTTAGGAGACATATTTTATGATGCTTTTAAGTTGGCACCTAGAGCACTGAACATAGTTAAGTTTTACGAAGAAAATGGATAAAGTCACATATTGTAAGGCTGCTAGCATACTTCATGAATCATGCATTGATTTTATTCGTTAAAGAAACCTATTGCTTTTAAGGTTTCACAAATTTCTTTTATACAGCGTATTTTGCATCGATTTTCATGTACTGTTACGAAAATTTCTCGTCTTGATACCATAGAACAGATTTCTCGACGCTGAAATAGCTTAGTCGAGAGAAGGCGATGTATATATATCTCGTAAAATAGAGTTTATTTGATAAAATTAAATGCATGGTGGCCGAGTTCTTAATAGTTCTTTTGTTCTCGCTAGTTTGAACAAAGCATAGCTCTGATTTCTTAAATACGTTTCACTGTAGGTCTTTCAGATTTGTTCGTTCCTTTTCTCGAATTGAATAATTTGACAATTTTTCATATATTTTTTCCTTTTAACAGTTTGACAGAAGCTGGAGATGGAGGTAGGTATATTCCTGTTAATAATTTTACCTTCTTTTTGTTTCGATGCTTTGCTATCCGTGTAAATGTTCATGTGGACAGTGTAAATAAAATGTCGGGCAAGATACAATCTAAACAAAGACAAATTGATAATTCTACCATATTTTCTCGTTTTCTGCTCAAACATTATTTTGTAAGATCACTGCTAACCCTTCGCTATCATGGTAAAATGGTAACTGAAATTTCGTAAAAGGCACAGATAGAGATTTTCAACTGTGATTCATTTTCTTTATTGTCTTTAAAGTAATCTGAATTTTAACCTGTGCCGCACTATGTAAGGCTAAAAAATCAGGACTACTGTAAGGCAACAAATTAAAGGAACTGCGTTGTGGCTTTAGAAATAGAAATAAATTTAAAATCACAATTAACCAAGGACGAAAAATGCTAAAGAGGTCATGATTCGCTAAAAACAACAAGGTATGGCTGAACTCGAAGCATTGTAATTTATGAACGACGACAACCTTGAAAAATGGAAGTAACGTTTTTCAAAATTCGCCATCTATGAACTTAAAAGGAGCTTGTCAGTCCTTAGACTATCGAGGAATAATACTGATAACACGTCGGACGTCCTGAATATGAAACTATGATACTCCCAGGAGTACAAGGACGTCTTCCACAGATGCAAAAAATGGTAGAGTATCACATGAAAGTACCGCTCAATAGCTTTTATTTGAATGGTCACACACTAGAGTTTCATCCACAGACATAAAACTTAGAACCACCTCGTACAGCATAATAAAGAGTATCATATGAAAGTACTGCTCAATAGCTTTCATATGCATTGAATGGTAATATCACAGACTTGAAAGTTAGAACCAGCTTGAACAGTATAACAACGGTATCATATGGAAGTGCAGCTCAATAGTTTCATCTGAAGACCCTCTGAATGAGCCCAGTCCAGGTTAACAATTAAGGTTGAAATGTACTAGTGATTGATTGATTGATTGATTGATTGATTAATTCACTCATTCATTCATTCATTCATTGGTTGATTGATTGACTGGTTGATTGATTGACTGATTGATTGGCACAAAATAGCAATAATCATTCAGGTTTCAGGTTTCATCTTTATAATTGCCTATTGTATTGTTTTATTTTGTGATTAAAATGTTTTAGTTAGAAATCGCACCAACAGCTTCGCGTGTCTGGCAAGAAAGAAAATTGTTTCAGGCGACCAAGTGTTGCTTAGTATCACACTTAAGAAGTACTCACTGTCTAGCTTAGAGAGCCTAGGTAATTGGTACTTTTTTTCCAATCTAGGTTTCACAATTAATAGCACGGTCAAACTTATTTGACCAGGGACTAAACAATGACCTGTCTGATAAATAAATTAAGCAAATTTACAGTGAAACCTAACCTAATATAACGAACTCGCCAACCCTCTCAATTTTCATCAAAAAAGAATTGAAAACGTGCAGCTATATTTTGAAAGTGTGGGAAATACAGCATTGCTACAAGCTTTATTTACAAGAACTGGGTTTTGGCCGTACGCGTTGACCAAGATTGTGCAATGTTAATAAAATAATTATTCCGCGGAAGCGCGTAGGCAGGAGAGCATGAAGGGCAAGAGACTTAATCTCTTCTATATAGGCCTTACTCGTGGCTTCAGAAATCGCAGGAGGGTCTGGAAATAGCCAATCCTGTGATGCGAATCTTACTCACGTGGACAGCCCAAGCGGCTTCACACGTATTTTCATCCTCCACGAAAACATTCACAAAACGCGCGCGGTAACATTATTCGCGGGAGGACTGGATACCATATCTAAAAATAACGTGAAAGAGATTACCTTAATTGAGGATAAGGCCTATATCAACCTCGTTCCCAGCGTCCACCCCCAAGCCAGGGAAAAGACCCTGGGAACGAGGTTGGGCCTATATGGGATTAACTCTCTTATCCTTGATCTTCTCTTAGCGTACGATGTTAGATAGTAGATAGCATAATTATTTCATACCCATAAGTGGGGGTGGAATAATTGTCTTACTATTAAAAACAACAACGAAGCATTGATAATTCTATTTAAGAAGACGAAACTTAGAAACTTCGGGCTACTGGTCTGCTCGTTAAATAGCTCTTTGACGCTAAATAGCTCCATTTTCTATTTTACAGATATTTTAGACGTTTTTGTATCTCAAGCATGCTTAAAATATGCCAAGCATAGAGCCAAAATATTCTCAAATCAGGCAAATGACGCGATATGCATTTGATAGGCGTATCTAATAAAATAGCGAGAGTATTTCCTAAGTAGTGATACACTCTTTTGGTTGTCCTACTCAGAAAATAGGGAAGTCTTAGCATTGCGTATAAAAAGCTGAGTTTTTTGCGTCACTAAATCTTGCGATCCTTTTTTCCATTTTTTTTCTCAGCCATGTGCAGGATGAAAACAAAAGACAACAAGTGTTGCGTGTTTCCTTTTGTTTACAAAGGAAAAACGTACGACTCATGCGTCACAGCCAGGGCTAACAGTCGTTGGTGCTCTCTATCGCCAAGCTATGACGACGATAGAAAATATGGATACTGTAGAGGTACTCTCCTTAACCTATGCAAAACAGAGGCCATCAACCCCTCTGGTAGAATGTAACGGGCATAGCAGTCGATTTTAAATGCCATAATCCTTGACTCGATTGTTGAGAAACTTACGAGAACAGAAAACATTTTACTCAAATTGAAGGCTTAACTATTTTTTTCAGCAAACAGCTTAACATATTGCGCAGTAGGGATACATTTTCACTTTCGTTCTTGGCCTGTTCTCTCCTTGATAAAAACAACTTTTGATAATAGAGAGTGTTTTACTTAAGTTGACGTGTAAGGGAGGAACGCATAATAATAATAATAATAATAATAATAATAATAATTTAATAACTTCTAGAGCACTATTTACATTTACTGATCAACAGCGCTTTACAACTTAAAATACTACAATAAAATTCAAATTTGTAAAACTAATTACATGTATATTAATAAAATAGAATATTTATAATAATGATAATAAACTTAATTAGTAATACTAAATAAGTGTGAATATCAAGCAAGATACGCTTTAAAAGCTATACGAAATAAATAAGTTTTCAGCTTACATTTAGAAATAGCTAATGACTGAATATCACGTAATTCAGCCGGCAAACTCCTCCATAAATATGGAGCAGCAGCAGAGAAAGATCTATCACCTAAAGTGACAAACATTTTCCCTTTATTAGGGTCTAACAATAAACTTTGATTTGATCTAAAATTATATATAGATCTAGGCATAATGGTAATTAATTCTATGATATACTTGTCGCAAATCCATAAAAAAAAATTAAGATCTTAAAATGAACACGATGTTGTACTGGTAACCAATGAAGTTCATACAAAGCACGGGAGTAATATGCAGGTACTTTCTTAGGTTCAGCACAAGTCTAGCCGCAGCATTCTGCACACGTTGCAATTTAACTATTTGCGACTTAGGCATACTTCAATGTGTATTATCTAAAGTGAATTGGAGCGTTCTGGAGAACGTTTCAAGTGAAAAGGAGATTGTTGTTACGAGCGGGAAAGACGGGGCAGGCAGGGGGCGGACGCGGGAGTTGAAATGGGAAAATTCTCCCGCTCGTGGTAGGTAGCTCATTACGCACTCTTAAAGTTTCATTTTTGGGTCGAAAGCTGTTGAGCAAAGACATAATAGCATCTGCGTCCAATGACCATCGCGTTTATCTTTGCGTTTGAGTAAGGAAAGCTGTAGCAACGTAGTCGGACCAGCAGAGTGGTCGTGATTTTTTTCTGTATAGTACAAAGAAGGATTTAGTGAATATAACAAATCTTCGCGTGTGATGTTAACAGGAATGGAAGGTTTGATTACTGGAGATGATCAGGCATGGGTCTACGCCAATGGAAGATACCTAGGAAGGGACAATGGAAGATGGGATGTTCCTGTGAGGTAATAAAATAACTTGTGTAAAGGAAAGGTCTTGCACACGAACCAAGTGGCCCATCAGGCCATATAGCATGAGGCGACTAAGAGTATTTCTCCTCCACCCGGATAGGATGCTAGTCTATCGCAGGGTTACCCCCAGCATTAAATTCAAATTCGCCGGTACTCTTTTGAATACCTGTGTAGAGAGGCACCGTGAGAGTAAAGTGTCTTGCTCAAAAACACAACACAATGTTCCCGGCTAGGGCGTGAACCCGGACCGCTCGATCCGGAGACGAGCGCGCTAACCATGAGGCCACTGCCTCCAAAATAACTTGTGTAGGGATCTGTAATGAAGAAATGGCCATTGCTTTTGAGTTTCACTTCAGGTAAAAGTTGCATGTCCTGAGGTCTGCTTCTCAATATGTTTAGTTGTGCTTACTTTCGATGCTGTTCTTCAGTCTGAAACAAATTTAAAAATTTTCTTACAGCTTCTACTTCCCTGAAAATCTTCAAGTCGTTGCCATCTATGTGAAAAACAGTGGCGGCGCTGCAGGACTCATCGCTTCGTTCGCAAACGGCATCGTAACTGACAACAAATGGAAGTGCACAACTCAAGCGATAAGAAACTGGCATACTACCGGATTTGACGACAGCAATTGGTCAGCGGCCACAATTCACGGCGGTAACAGCGGTCAGTTAAGAGTCAATAGATTGCCAACGAATGCTAAATGGATTGGTTCAAAATATCGAAATGCTGGCGGCCTCTACTGTAGGAGACACATGACTTACTTTGGAGAGAAACCATCAGCTGGTGGAAGTAAGTCGTTTTTCAACCTTATCGCAAATTGAACTCTCATATGTAAAATAATAATAATATAATAATAATACAATAATAATAATAATGATAATAATAATAATAATATTTATCCAGGGAGCCCACTCGCCTTGGCGGTTTTCAGTGGGGCCCTGCAAATCATAACAACAATTAAAAAGAAGACAAGAGATAAAAAAAAATTGGTATTACAATATAAAACAAATTTTAAGATAATTTAACAATTAGATAGGGCATTATTTACGAAGTTTTAAGCTTTGCCTTAAAGAAGGACAATGATTTGCTGTTTTTAATGTCATTGTCTATATACGTTCAACCTGAAGTTAGATACTTTAAAAGGTGGCTCTAACAGTTCCCAGCACTTTCCAAGACTTAGATTTTGATAGGTCATTATAACC